CGCGGGGTCCAGGACAGCAAGCTGACGGGCTAAACGGAGGTGAAGGACGCAGCGGTCATTGCAGTCAAAGAGGTCATGGCAGTCATTGCTGGACTCCAGGGCTCAGTGTCCAGGGCTGAGTGTCCAGGGCTCATTGTCCAGGGCTCAGTGTCCAGAGCTCAGTGTCCAGGGCCCATTGTAAAGGACCCAGTGTCCAGTGTCCAGTGTCTAGGGCTCAGTGTCCAGGGCTCAGTGTCCAGGGTCCAGTGTCCAGGGCTCAGTTTCCAGAGTCCAGTGTCCAGGGCTCAGTTTCCAGGGTCCAGTGTCCAGGGCTCAGTGTCCAGGGCTCAGTTTCCAGGGTCCAGTGCCAGTACCCACTACCAGCCTTTGATTAGAGTTTTTCTTTTCTTTTTTTTTTTTTTTTTTCAACATTGTCCAAATCTTCAAGATGAAAGAAAGTTGAGAAAAAAAGTAGAAGATACACAACATAGAAACTCCCTGTCGGCACTTCTCCGAATATCGGTCTCAAATTATCTAGCTCAAAATCCAACCCTTACAGGGCCTCAATGATATGTTAACTTAGGATGGATATATTTCAGGCATATATGGCAGACGGACCATTAGCTCCAATACAGATTAGCAAAAATGTTCTACCGATTCATAATTTGGCAGATTTAGATGTTAAACCTGTCGACATATATATCGTTAAGGGAATAGAAAATTTAATATTCTCTGTCAAAAAGCACAGTGAAGAACAAAATCTGTTCTTTGATTTGAAAAAAAAAAATGTTAAATAATGTCCACAGATAAAACTGGCTGTCACCCAGAAATAACAATTAAGGATGAAGAAATTAAAAATGTCACAAACTTTGAATATCTAGGCTCTATAATAAACAACAATGGAGACTGTTTGACAGAAATTAAAAGGAGGATGGCCATAGCAATGCAAAGATTGAACAGCCTTAAAAGTCTATGGTTAAGCACCTGCAAAGAGATAAAAATTAGAAATTTGAGAGCATGCATCTTCCCTGTGGCTACATACGGATGTGAGTTGTGGACTATGTCCCAGTCCTTAAGAAAGAGAACAGAGCCTTTGAGATGAAATGCTATAGAAATATTCTCAGAATATCTTGGACAATGAAGAGGAGAAATACTGACATCTTGAAAGATCTGAACATCAAGGAAGATTGGCTTATAAACAGCACCCTGTCCCGGAAGTTGAAATATGTTGGTCATATCAAGCGCCACGACATATTGAAAAGAAATATGGCAGAAGGCATATTACCAGGAAGGAGGGGCAGGGGCCGACCGACACGAAGATGGGCGCAGGATATAAGTGATTCATTGAGTATATGAGGCGGGAGAACCGGCGAGAGACCGAATTTCTTTCAGGCAGACTGTGATGAGAGCGACGTTCTGCAAAGGACCTGCTACATGATGATGATAATAATGATATATATATATAAGTGAATAATAAACTACTGTGGTTGCAATGGCTTCTTGCACATAGATGAAATCGAAATACAGTAGAATGTTCTTGTTGCAAACGTCTGATGTCGTTAGTTTCGAGGTTAGACTGTTGTGACAGATCCTCCTGGCGGTGTTAGGGTTAGGCCTAGCCCTCACCAGGTACTTTTGTATATAGAGAAGGCCGTCCCCTAACTCTAATACCCAAAACAGTTAAAAGGTCATGGATGCAACTCAAACGGAAGCAACCATTGAGGCCCTGTAAGGGTAGGTTTTTGACCTAGATAATTTAGGGTCGTCATTCGGAGGAGTGCCCTTCCTGTCTTACTTTTACGTACAGATAGACAGATGCTGTCTCAATCTCACCTTTAACAAACGACTAGTGCATAATATGTGAATAAAACTGAAATTTTATTTGACCTATGTTGATGTGATTTTATGAAAGTCTTAAAAAACCATCAGCTGTAAATAAGGAAAAAAGAAAATATTTATATTATGACTACAACTACACCACTACTTGTATAATAATGACTGTAATTATTTTTTCTTTGTAACTTCTAAACCTTGTCTAAAATCAATATTGTATCATACGTCAATGTGTAATAAAAGTCAATGGTGTTATTTTAAGACAAGTACAGAAATGTAAGTATCTGGGCACATGGATAACATCAGATGGAAGAGGCATAACTGAAATAAGAAACAGAATTGGACAGGCAAAAACTGCATTTTATAAAATGAAAAACATCTTGTGCAATATATCCTTGTCATTGAGAGTTAGAAAAAGAATTCTTGCTTGCTACATACATCCAATTTTAACATATGGATGTGAATCCTGGACAATCGGTAGGTAGGCCAAACAATTTTAAGAGGCCTCAGAGATGTGGTTTTACAGAAGAATGCTAAGAGTACCTTGGACAGCCAAAAAGAGCAACCAAGAGTTTTTAAAAGAGGCGGGAGCTCGAAGACAACTTATCACTGACATCAGAAGGAGACAGTCATCATTTTTCGGCCATGTTATGAGAAGAGGGAAAATAGAACATGTTGTGACCACTGGAAAGATCTGTGGAAGGAGGAATAGAGGAAGACAACGAGAGAAGATGCTTGACAGTCTTGTTGCATGGCATGGAGGTGTGTCGGCACACGAACTGATACATGCTGCAGGAGATCACGGATTATGGAGAGGCATGATCGCCCACGCCAGTCGGCAAGGCACCTGATGATGATGATCATACGTCAATGTTCATATAATTGCGGTTGTACCTAATAATATACAAATTTCAGTTGCATATCCTCTATTTTCCATCGATGACTATGTGTCTCTATGTGTATGTATAATTGTAAATGTTGTATAAACGCCTGTATATGTTTTTGTACGTGAATAAACATAAACTATACCAATGTGTGTTTAACTGTCTGTTAATATAAATCTGTGTATAACTTTATATTGTGGAGTCACATTCATAAATTACCAACAAAGATAAATCTAGCATAAACGAAAGAAGCTATGTGTAAGCAAAAGACGAGGAAACATTTATCTTGCCTGCGGTTGATTATAGACTAGGACTGCTCACTGTTTCAAAGAGTCAGCTGGCTAAACATGTATCTATGTCATGGCACCATAAGTTTTGAACCCAACTAACCCTAAACCCCTTTCTTAACAATGCGACACAACAACTTGACCATTTACTGACCCCTAACTACGCATCTAATAAGATGACACATCTCTATCTTGCCGACACAGTCATAGGTGCAACCTACCCCCCCCCCCTTTGCCCTCTTTATAAACGCTATAGCACTAGAGACAAAATATACTTAAATCGCCCTTTTGTTACTACAGTCACCTACATTGACAGTTTATGCAAGGATGCCAAACCCAGTAAAGTCAATGTTAGCAAGATCAACCAATAACTATTTGTGCTTGACCAGGCCTTGAAAGCAGATACAGCCATGATATTACAACAACGTCTGGCATCTATGAATAAACAATGTAAAAATAATTTGAGACTCAACCTTGAAAAGAGAGAAGTAACGTCAGTAGAAAGAAAGAAGCATAAACTACATAAAGCAGTAGAGTGTCAAGGCATTAAAAAGGCATCTGAGTTTAAATATGTTGGACAACATTCACCGAAGTTGGTAAATTGATGAAGAAATTATCGTCAGATGCAGTAAAGCAAACCAAGTATTAGGATAGCTAGCTCCATTTTTACAGGATGAGACAAGGGCAATCTGCACAAAGAAACAAAGCAAATTAATTCCCACTGTATGCTACCAGTGCTAGACATGGTCACTAGACAACAAATAAAATAAAATTAGTAGCCACAGAAATCAAATGTGTGTAGAATGGTTGCAGGACTGACCAGAAGAGATGAATTCAGAAACGAGGTCATAAAAGAAAAAAAGTGGCACAGAACATCCTAAATTACCTACAGACAGCAGATCAAGTGGATTGCACACTTAGAGAGAATGTCTCGCAACGCCATAGAATACGAGCATACGCCAAAATAGAAGAAGGACATAGATCACAAGGTAGAAACCCCCCAAAAATGGAACGATAATATTAAATACTTCAACAGTAATATGTGTCTATTATAGAGGCGGCCAGAAGAGCAACAGGCAGAACTTTATATTTCCTTTGACACCCGAAGCGGTAAAAGATGAACTGAAGCAGATGAATAATGCAGTCCACATTCACACGAAAAGACACTAGTCAGTACAATGCGTCCAGAGCTGCACCTCAGACTGTTACTCCTTACGCCGCTCTTCGATAAAAGTGGAAGTTGATGATTTTTTTTTTACAGCAGACCATCTTCGAGGAAGGCCAGAGGAGGACCAAGAAATACACGGATAAATAGTGTAGCAGAAACCTGCAAAGGGATGAACAAATCCATCACACATGCTACGCGAGAAGCACAAGACAAATAAGAAAACCATGACACTGGGCTGAAACCTGGTATCAGTTGGACGAGAAAACCACGACACTGGCAAATAACCAGGTATCTGTGAAACGACAAAACAATGACACTGGGCTACAAACTGGTATCAGTAAGACGACAAAACCACGACATTTGGATATAGCCAGGTATCAGTGAGATGACAAAAACACGACAAGGGGATATAACCAGGTATCAGTGAGACGATAAAACCACGACACTTGGATATAGCCAGGTTTTAGTGAGATGACAAAACCACGACACGGGGCTACAACCTGGTATCTGTGAGACGACAAAACCACGACACTGGGCAACAACCTGGTATCAGTGAAACGACAAAACCACGACACTGGGCTACAACCTGGTATCAGTGACACGACAAAACCACGACACTGGGCTACAATCTGGTATCAGTGAGACGACAAAACCACGACACTGGGCTACAACCTGGTATCAGTGAGACGACAAAACCACGACACTGAGCTACAACCTGGTATCAGTGACACGACAAAACCACGACACTGGGCTACAATCTGGTATCAGTGAGACGACAAAACCACGACACTGGGCTACAACCTGGTATCAGTGAGACGACAAAAGAAGAAGTTGATGGTGACGATTTCTTCAACACTTAAGATTTGGATCATTTAGCTGTTTGTGTATCTGTAATATCTCCTGATGTTTGTATTGGTGTCCGGAAATATTGGACTTAAAGGAACATCCTGACACTGCCCGTTTTTCAAAAGTAAAATAGCCACTTTCATAAAGTTTAACCGAAGCCGTTTTGGCGCATAATCCCGTTATGTAAATGTCTTCTAGCCAAAATGTTGGGACTCTAAGAGAAGCCTCATACAACAGAGAAGCTGCAATTCCAGTCATGGCGTAGGCTGGCCCTATGGCGTAGTTAGGGTATGTGTTTCCTGGGAACATCGAAGTTGGTGTGTACCATTTTGAGTTTGAATCTCTCTTGGGGTGTGCGTTCACTTGCAGAGATCCAATTACGTAAGACTTGGGGCTTGATTTGTGGGAAGAATATTCATGCAATACATTAACAAGAAACGGAATGTTGATATAAATATCATCGTCCACTTTTAAGACAAATTTAGTAAAAGAACAAAACAAATGAACCCACTTAAGGATGGACACAGATTTTAAACTAAGATTGCGATAGGAATCAACATAATCTTCTTGTAATATGTCTCCATATTGTAAAGATTCTGCCGAAATGTTTCTTTGAGTAAATGCTGCAGATTTGCCAGATTCTGGCGGGATGTTCCCGATGAAGAACACCAGACGGGCTTTGTTTGACATGTTGTAGGCGTAGCTTCCCCATGTTTTTCTAATGACAGATCTGCCTTCATAGTTGTTGTAGGCTATAGGGACACACATAACCAGAATAACGTCTTCATTGGCACAAGTTACTTTGGGCTGGATCAAATACTTGAAATCATGAGGGTTAACAACCGGCTCACGTAAAAAAGCCATCTCCGTTGTAAAAACGCTACTAGACTGGTAAAACATTTTGTCCAGACTTGAATGGTGAGTAAAATTATCCTTCGTGAAGTTGGCTGAAAGCATGGGAGAATGAGACAGGAGGATCTCTGTAATGAAGTGCCTAGAGTTAAAGTACAAGACCGCATTCCCCAGTACAAACACAGCTCCGAGTGCTATCTTCATCCATCTGGATGTGGTCAGGCTTTTCCATTCTGATTGCATTTTCCTGTAATTAAAGCAGAATTTAAACAATAAGATTTGTGAGCTGAAGTCACAGAGCGCATTATCATCACAATCAAGTGTCGTACCGATAAGCTTGACTGATCCCTCCCCGTTATCGTGAGCCATGCAGCTGCACCCGAACCTGAGGGCCTAAGTCCCATTAGTACACCCCCTCCCTCTTTCTATTTTCACTTTTCCTCCGACAACCAACAAAATTGTAAGAGCTAAGAAAGCACTCCCCCCCCCCCCCCCTTTTTTTAACCCCCCTTTTTTTCCCATCCACACACACACACACACACACACAAAATCCCTCCCACACATCATGTGTTGGAGTTCTTTTCTTAAATAATGCATATTGTGACAAACCAACGGAATATTTCAGTCCGGCAAGAGTTTATTGCATCTTGTTGGTTAAAACAATTGCGCACTTAAAATAAATGTAGATGCGGGAATAGTAGTAAATGTACGACGGCGTTAAGAAGCACATAACTTATGACGTTTTCTCAGCTGTCACTGGGAGAAAAACTTTCGAGCTAGTCATTCGTTGCTACATCAAACGACCGCCCCAGCCTTTCCGTCGGCCTAGCTAAAAAGAAATAATAATAATACGAATTCAGGTGAGATTTCGATTTATAATGGTAGGGAGTAGCTGAGATCCCTTGTAAGCCGTAGCTGTATCCTGAAATATTTTATCGAGATCCTACCATTCTATATTCTACCATTGTATGAATATTCCGTGACTTCATCAACCTTGATACTTGTCCTTTGGACCACAGTAACTATTTACTAGTCCCTACATATTATGACGTTCCTTAGGTTACTATTCACAGTTAGGGCAATTCATTAGTGAACCCTCTATCACCTTGTCATCTTTTCTGAAAATATTCATTTTGGTTTTCTTCCATAAGGAGCTTATGGTATAAACCATCATCCTGTGCCGGGCGGTGCCATCAAGTGTTTATACCCTACATTGTGTATATTTAATATATTATGAAAACATAAAAACTGAGTAAAAGGGAGGGACCTTTGGAAAAGCTGTCAGCTGTGTGGGCATATGGGGCTGGACATGTGTTTTAAAGACCAAGTGGTACCTGGGCGTTGATGTGGTCAACATCACACCTGCCGCCTTTACTCCCCATGACTATACCTGGTGTCCATTCAAGGCGAAGTCGACGTGGGTCTATTGGGACTCGAACTCACGACTGTCCAATCCGCATGCGAGCGTGTGTCCACTTGTATATGTATAAAACAATATTACAACATGTTAGAGATATTTATTATTGATATATTGCTCGTGGAGAAAGACTGTGTTTGTAATACCTTGCTCTTTTCCTTTACTACTCTGATAACACCACAAACACTGCAACACTTCTACCTGCCACAGATGTGTCGGCATAATCCTCGCCACAAGGATAATTGATGTATTTTCCCAGGTTCCCTATAACAACACTGTAGAATGGAGATCGGAAATTAATTGAACAGACTACCTGTTGAAGACAGCCAATAACTACCATTGTTGCCCATACCACAGGGGAATGCTGTATTCCACTCGAACGATCATAGAGCTGAGTGACATTTAGATGTATTAGAATGATTATGGAGTTGAGTGAGGATTTTTTTTTTTTTTTTTTGAGTTGAATATTTTAACGGGATTTCTGCGCTGTGTTATTTCAATACAATTGTTGATTTAGAAAACTCAAATATCTGATTATGTCAATAAGTATCGATTTGAATTCCTTGTTTAGACGAAGAATTTTACGTTGTGATTTCTTTGAGTCCAATTAGCAATGTATTGAACTTTGATTATTCAGAAGTTTAGTTAGAAGAATAAATATTTTTCTTTTTCAGTGATTCACCCTATTGGTATAATTATCTGTATTTCCCTTCCTTTTTTATGAACCCAGGGACCAATAAAATTCCCCTAGATATTCTTATTCCGAGCCCTGTAAAACATTTAGGAAGGATTGTAGGGTATCTCCAGGCGAGGATAAATTCCGCCAAATTAGCTTACGACACATATTATATTATTCAAAGAAACAAGCCAGACACTATCTCGAGGTCTCAGAGATGTTATTTTGTTAAATAATACATATTATATTATTCAAAGAAACAAGCCAGACACTATCTCGAGGTCTCGGAGATGTTGTTTTGTTAAATAATACATTTTATATTATTCAAAGAAACAAGCCAGACACTATCTCGAGGTCTCGGAGATGTTGTTTTGTTAAATAATACATATTATATTATTCAGAGAAGCAAGCCATACACTTTCTTGAGGTCTTGGACATGTTATATTACAGAAGAGTGTAAATTTCATGGACAGCTAAAAAGAGCATCCCAAATGTTATGGAAGAGGCGAGAGCTCCAAGGCAACTTATCGCAAACATCTGAAAGAGACAGTAATTTTTTTTTTCTGGTCATCTTATGAGAAGGAAACTAGAACATGTGACCACTAGGAGGATCTGTGGAAAGAGAGACAAATGAAGAGAAAGGCAGATGATTTCTGACAGCCTTTTGTCACGCAATAGAGTGGTATCAACACACGAACTGATAGACGCAGTTGTAGATCGCAGATTGTACGGAGACATGATCGCCAACGCAAGTTGGTGGGTAACTTGATGATAATGAATGTAATACTATGGAAGTCTCTGCTTTGTCCTCCCCCTCTTCCGTAAACGATCTTAGATCCCGAATCAACCCAGCATAATATGTGCACTATCTAATGTCCTAGACGTAAAAGGCGGTCGGTGTTGTGTTGAAAGAATCATCAATTTAATGCCAGTTGGTCTTAAATGGTTATTTCCTCAATTTATTTCCATTCGAATTAGTGAAGATTTTTTGCTTCAAGCTTTGCCAAAGGGATTTTCTATGTGGCGAAGTGGTTTAGCCGTTTGCTCACGTTCTCGAGGTACGTGGGTTCGTTTCAGGGCCGAGTCCTGCCTTCCTCGTCGTTAACCTACTGGTGCGTTAACGGTTCTGGATTCTTTTTGTGGATGCATCCATTGGTTCGGAAATGCGTGTATTATGGATATTTCCACATTAGAGTAATGTATATACTGTTTAAAAAAAAAAAAACGCATAGTTATCCGATGGCGCGTTTTTATTAGTTTGTAAATAAAATATCGTACTGGGGTGTGTGAAAAGCTGACTCTAATATTGTTTATAGTGTCCAGTGGACATGTGGGCGTGAATTGCGTTGGTTTATTATAATCGTTACAACGCAGTGGTCAACCGTGTTTAAGACCATATTTGTGAGCATAGCTCACGATGCGCGCACGAGAAAGCAGCACAATTTGCGGTGAACACTATTCACTGCCCATGCAATTGAAACGCTATAAAAGGAAAACGCTTCACCAAAACGATCAGTTCATTTTCAAGCAGTCATGAATGGAACCTCTATTGATAAATTAAAGGAATATTGCTATTGGCTGATTGCAGGCAGTAGAAAGTCAAAGTCAGATTGCCAGGCATCTAAACGTGCATCAGAGTAACATCAGTCGACTTTTCAAGCCACTGGTTTAGTTAAAGACCGAAATCGCAGTGGACGACCTAGAGTGACAACAGCAGCAGAGAATCACTTTATTCAGCTTCGTCGCCTCCGACACAGGTTTACAGCAGCTTCCTCAACCGAACAGGTATTGCCTCCAGGACGTCTTGTGTTTGATCAAACTGTTCGGAACAGACTACATGATGTTGGACTGTAGGCTCGACGACCACACCGAGGACCTGTCCTTACGCGTCGTCACCGCCAAAATCAACTTCTTTGGGCCAACCAACATCGTACCTGGGCAAGCGACAATCAGTGAAGACGTGTCTTGTTCAGTGACGAATCTTTCTTTTTGTTGCAGCGTCGTGATAGACGGCGTACGGTCTACCTTAGATGAAATGAAGGTTTAGCCCAAAATTGTATTTATGAAGCTCAGCTGCACGGCGGTGGAGGTACAATGGTATGGGAAATGAACAGTTACAACGGGAGGAGACAATTGGTGCACACTGAAGGAATCTTGAATGCGCAACGATACGTCAGTGAAATTCTTCGACCACACGTCCTTCCATTTTGGGATGCAAAAAGATAACTTTCACAACAGGACAACGCCATACCCCATTCAGCATAGCTGACCACGCAATTCCTGGCTGCCAATAACATTCAAATCCTTCCCTGGCCATCCCTGTCTGCAGACATAAGTCCGATTGAGCACCTGGGGGATGAGCTGCAAAGACGTGTTTGTCGCCGAAACATTGCTCCATCCAATGGTCGTGATCGGTTCCAGGCACTGCAGGAAGAGTGGACAGCCAGCCCACAGGCCCACATCAGACATTTGATCGCAACCATGCCCAGGAGATGCCTGTCATTGATCCACGCAAGAGGAGGCCACACACTTTATTCAGCTTCGTCGCCTCCGACACAGGTTTACAGCAGCTTCCTCAACCGAACAGGTATTGCCTCCAGGACGTCTTGTGTTTGATCAAACTGTTCGGAACAGACTACATGATGTTGGACTGTAGGCTCGACGACCACACCGAGGACCTGTCCTTACGCGTCGTCACCGCCAAAATCACCTTCTTTGGGCCAACCAACATCGTACCTGGGCAAGCGACAATCAGTGAAGACGTGTCTTGTTCAGTGACGAATCTTTCTTTTTGTTGCAGCGTCGTGATAGACGGCGTACGGTCTACCTTAGATGAAATGAAGGTTTAGCCCAAAATTGTATTTATGAAGCTCTGCTGCACGGCGGTGGAGGTACAATGGTATGGGAAATGAACAGTTACAACGGGAGGAGACAATTGGTGCACACTGAAGGAATCTTGAATGCGCAACGATACGTCAGTGAAATTCTTCGACCACACGTCCTTCCATTTTGGGATGCAAAAAGATAACTTTCACAACAGGACAACGCCATACCCCATTCTGCATAGCTGACCACGCAATTCCTGGCTGCCAATAACATTCAAATCCTTCCCTGGCCATCCCTGTCTGCAGACATAAGTCCGATTGAGCA